TAAAAAATTTTTACTGTTTGAATCAAGATTCAAATAATGTGCATAACTTTCAATTTGTTAATGTCTTCAAGTTCATTTTAATCTCTAGATTTCCCTCTATCCATTTTGTTCATCTGGGGCTGGGGATTTAGCTCAGCAGCACAGCACCTGCCTGGCAAGTGCAAGGTCATGAGTTCGATTCCTGATGCCAAAAAAAAACCAAAACCAAAACCAAAAAAAAAAAAACAAACAACAAAACATTTTGGTTTTTTTTTTTTTTTTTTGGTTTTTCTCCGGTACTGGGAACCGAACTCACCACCTTGCACTTGCCAGGCAGGCGCTTTTGCCGCTGAGCTAAATCCCCAGCCCCGGGAACACTACCTTTGATTCATAGGTGGCTGTGTGACCTTGGGGAAGGGCCCTTCAGCCAGGGACAGTCACTGGGTCTTTGCAGCTCCGTTTCCTCCTCTACAAATGGAATGAAGAATCCTGGGATCTCAGAGAGCTGTGGGAATGGGCTGCGGTAGTCTCTGTGCACGCTAGCACAGCGCCCTGCGTGCGAGTGTATAGGAAGAGTGAGCACTGCCCTTCATACCCTGACGGCCTCCTGGAGAAGGTCCTAGGTGGAAAGGAGGAGTCAGGAGGCTGCTGCTGCTGCTGCTGCAGAGTCCAGGCATGGACATGGGGGACACAGAGGCCCCAAGCCAGCACTACTGCTCCTGGTGGCCTGAAGAGGCGGCTGGTCCCCTGGGAGGATCAAGTGGGAACAGGGAAGGCTTGCCAGAGGGGGCTGGGTTCTGAGGTGCCTGGCAGTGAAACAGGCACAGAGATGCAGGCTGAGAGCAGGTTTAGGGAGGAGCAGGACCTTCAGTGGGGGTAGGGGAGGGGCTGGTTGGGGGAGAGGAGGAGGTGGGAAGGAGGGGCCCGAGCCTTCAGGAGGGCTTTGGACTTTCTGCATGGAGTGTGACTGGCAAGGCCTCTCTGTCCAGGTGGAGATCATATGCCAAGCCCACTGCTACATGGTGTTTGTGGACGGCCAACATCTGCTGGAATATGCCCACCGCCTGAAGGACCTGTCAGCCATCAGTCACCTGGAGGTGGAAGGCGATCTCGAGCTTACTACAGTGAATGTCTAGGTGGGCTCCCTGGCCTGGTGCACCACTGTCTGCATCTCCTCTGGCTCCTCCTCCATGCCCCGCACTGGCTTCTGGAGCCCTGACCTCTGAGCAAAGCGCCAGCTCCACTCCTCCTCGCCCTGAGGTGGTCCGAGCCTGCTGAGCCCCCAGCAAAGCCCCACACTGCATGCAGCCATCAATCTGCTCCCATCCTCTGTGCAACCCCACTTGAGTCCCAAGACACAGCTGTGCACTGCAGTAACAAGGAGACCTGCAGGGCCCTCCCGATCCTGTGACCTTAACCTCTGTCCTTGGCTGTGCACCCCACTGCCCCCCAACCCCTCTGGGAAGGCTGCTCTGGTGACATCCCGCTGCCTTGCACCAACTGACCAGAACTTTCTCAGAGAGGGCTCTTCCTTTCCCTGGCATCCTTAAAATAAAGAAAACGCTGCACTCCTGGCACACGACTGACTCTTTTATTATTGTGTCGGAGACATTTTGAGTTTTCTGGAACTGGGGGTCCCTGTCCCATGGAGTGAGAGAAGGAACACTCGTTCTCTTTGGGCAGGGAGGTCCCTACATCCATGCCCACTCCCAGAGGGTCCCTCGAGAAGCTGTAAGGGTGCTGAGGAAGACAGCTGGGCTCGGGCTGTGGGAGGAAGTGTCCCTGACATAGGCATCTTGATATCCTGGTGAACACAGGAAATATCCCCATGTCACTGAGAGAGGAGAAGTCAGGGATAGAATCTGTGGGGCCATGGCAGAGCCAGGAAGACACATGACCCTGTGCCATGAGGCAGATGGGGGACCTGGCATGAGGGATGGTGTCCAGGAGCTAAGTGCCTCGGGACCAGAGATCTACGGGCCACCGGGTGGGTGCATAAGGGAGCCCAGCTGTGCGCCCAGGTGATTCCATCAAGAACTCAGGGGTGGTGCTCAGGTGGCAGCGTCAGCAGGGAACTGGTTAGCAAGGCAGCATCTCAGGCCCTCTGCAGACCTACTACATGGGGACCTGCATTTTAACTACATCTAAGAGGACTCGTGAGTTTCTGGAAGCGGCAGGCAGCCCTGGTCTACGTGGCTGGATTCTTGGCCACGCTGTTCAGACTCCGGGCTCCTGGTCAGGGCACTGACTATTTCTGGGTGACCAGAGGTCTGTATGCCCCTCCTGCCCCACATCTGGGTCACTGCTTCCAGAAGAGGAAGGAGAGACAGCAGGGAGAAGCAGGGGAGAGCATGGAAAACTTGGCCAGCAGGGCCCTGGCCTCTAACGGGGTCCTTTCCTTGATTCTGAGCAGGAGATGGTGCTCTGCTTTCTCCCAACCCTCCTGGGTGGCTGCACCCCAGCAGGGCCCTGGTCTTTCAGGCAGGCAGGGATGCGGTGCCCTCCACCCCATCCTCCTACAGAAGGCCACGCCTGGTTTTCCCAGGTGCCAATCAGCAATAGCCAAACTTAACCAGATAGGCGGCAGCAAGGCGAAAACCTTGCATGATGGGGTCTTGAGGACAAGGCCTTGACTAAGGAGCTGGTGCTGGGTGGGGGGAGCTCCTCCCCTCACTCAGTGTAAGCTGCTTCCTATGGAGTCTCCACTCCTGCTGTCAGCTGTCCCCCACCCCATCCTGACTATCACACTCTTTGGATGAGCAGAGAACTCCATCGGCTGCCATTTCAAAGAGGAATCCACGGTCTGGCTGGTCAGTTCCTTTGTGGGGTCCTTTGTCCAGGTGGTAGCACAACCCTGACCATGTTATGCCTTGCCGCTGCTATCCCTGCAGTACAGCTGCAGCCACAACGCGGACACAAACAGACACACACACACACACTATAGTTAAAATGAAATGCATTTTATACAAGCAATTTCATCAAGGAAACATGCAGGGAAGTCTTAAATGGCCCTTGGGAGCAGACAAGGGTGTTTTCATACAGAAGGATAAATACTGTACACAGGGGCACAGAAATATGCAGTGGCACAATATCGCCTCCTGGTGGTCAGTCTAACTGCAGCAAGCAGATGAAGTTTGAGTTCCTCTCAGGCCTAGCATTGCAGGTTCATGGGGCGGAGTGTGGGGTGTGTGTGTGTGGAGGGGGTGTTAAGGCACAGATGTGGCTCCGATCAGTCCAGGATACTACTTGGTGTTAGCTCATGTAAAATATATGTGACGAAAAGTATCATTTTGACCACTTTCAGTGTACAATCCAGGTGGCTTTCAGTGTATTTACACTGTTGTCCAAACAGCACTACATCCAGCTCTAGATGTTTTTCGTCTTCCCCAAACGAGATTCTGCATCCATTAAACACATTCCCCTTTTCCTCTACCCTGGCGACTACCAATCTTACCTTTAGGAATTCATAGCATTGTAAGGGTTCGTTTTTATGACGCTGTCATTCTACTCATTTTTACAATTCTCTTCTCAGTAAAAGAAATGACATTGATTTTCACCTAATGGTAGAGAATTAAAATGTCACTTGCTTTACACCCAGGGTCTCACTCTGACACCTAGTGTGATCCTCCCAGGTTGCTGGTCAGTGCGGGCAGCCACAGCTCCCAGCCCACCTGCAATCATGGGAAACCACGGAGTTCCGCTGCATGCTGCATTGCTAAGCTTCATGTTTAGTAAGGCAGGTGTAGTCATCGCATTTTCCATTCTATCATATTTGCAGCTTATGATTGGTTTCTCAGGCTGTAACGCTCAGAGGGGACAAGGTCTCCCCTTGTGGGTGGATTCTGGAAAGGGAAAGCCAACTGCTGCTCCCTGAGGCTGCCTGGAATAGGAGGGGACTGGCAAGAGTGCCTCAGTGAAGACACAGTGTCTTACATTTTTTTCCTCCTATGGACAGAAAGTGCATAGCACCAGCAAGCAGCTGCCCCTATTTTCTGCAAACCAGTCCTTCAAAGTGAAGATCACTGATCACATGCTCTGTGCCAGGTCCCCTTCAAAATGCTGTTAATCCTCTCACTGCTCTGTCAGGATGTTGTTGTTATCAGTTTTATACATGAGTAGAGAAAATGAGGCACTAAAAATGATGGCCTTTGCTCAAGACCCCACAGCTAGCAGCACTGTCTTTACCATGGGCAGCCACGTGCCTTGTTAAAACTCAGGGCCTCCGGCTGGGATTGGGGCTCAGGGGCACAGCGCTGGCCTAGCATGCACAAGGCCCCGGGTTCAATCCCAGCACTGGGAACAAAATGGAACTTAGCATCCAGGGCTTTAAGCAATGTGGGCAAAGGAGGAATGGCCACCAAGAGGCTGACAGGATCCAAAACTCAGCCTGTCACTGTGTGGCCGGCAGGAGTTTCAGTGCATCCAGAAGGAGAGAGGGTCTTGCCCCTTGCTTAGCTGTTGTAAGCAGGTGTTTTACCTGCACTGTGTGGGTGGTTTCCTGCCCCGGGGCAGATGGGTGCCAGGTATGCCTGCTGAGGGGCTGTTTTCTTGCCTGCTCCCAGGCATGAGAACCAGCTGAAGTTGTCACATGACTGGCTGTGCTGCCTGGCCCCTGAAACTGTGTGAGAGATGACCCCTGGGAAGGACGAGGAGCAGCTGCCCTTCTCCAAAGCTGTAGATGTCTATGCATTTGGGTAAGCAGGCTCCCAGTGCTTAGAGCCCAGGGGTGCCCCCCAGAGAGGGCCCTGATGGCCACTGGAGTTAGGGGAGGTGTCCGCCAAGCTGCTTAGAGCCTGGGCTTGGAGTAGGAACACCTCATGTCAGGTGTCAGCCTACTGAGATTGAG